GAATTTACTGCATGCCTCGAATATTAAGTGCCTTACACGTTATCCCGTTAAATCCCTATGACGGTCCAATAGCACAGGGTCTTTTAACAGCATCTCCAATTTACCGACGGGGAGCAGGGTTTCAAGAGGTTGCAGGTTTGCCCAGCGTGTACAGAGTCCAAGGCCAAGCAGGATTTGAACCAGCTATTCTCTACCCCCTAAGCGTATTTCCATGACTCCAGTCTCCCAGGCAACCTGCCCTGCCCTGCCCTGCTCTATGGGGGTCCAACAGTGTAGAAAGCCCAGCTGGGGGATTTCTTGATCAGAGGGACCAGTATTGCTTTCTTCTCCCCATCAGAAGCCATAAGACAAGCTGCCTTTGTGGCCGAATGAGATTTCCCTGGAATGGGTTTATCTGCTAAGGCAGAAAAGTCTTAATAAGTATTCAGGCAGCCTGATCAGGAGCCAGAGCTGAAAGACCTTTGGCCAAAACACAGTTGGAAAAACCCACAGAGCACTTTCCAGCCCTGGGCCCAGAATCTCTCATAGCAGGGCGGGGGAAGGATGCCAGTGATCCTCTCCCTCAGTGCACGTTGGTCTCTATGTCAGCTCCCCAAGAAGCCCTGGTGGTGCAGCAGTTAATCACTTGGCTGCTAACCAAAAGGTCAGTGGTTCGAACCCACCCAGCCACTCCTCGGAAGAAAAGACCTGCTGATCTGCTCCTGTAAAGATTACAGCCTTGGAAACCCTGTGGGGCAGTTCTCCGTCATATAGGGTTGGAGTCCACCTGATAGCACCTAACAACAAAAGCATGTTAGCTCCCCAGCCCGTCCTCCCACAGCAGGCAAGGGTGAAGCCATGAGACTTTTCATCTCTTTCACTCTTTTGAGGAGAAAGTCTCCCCTGGGTGATGCTAGGTCTTTAATATGGCCTAAACTTGCCAAGTCCCTCGGTGGTGCAAATGGTTAATGCCTTTAGATGCTAACCAAAAAGTTAGAGGTTCGAGTCTATCTAGAGGTGCCTTGGAAGAAAGTCCTGGCGATCTGCTTCCAAAAAAGCAGCCGTTGAAAATTCTTCGGAGCACAGTTCTACTCTGACATGTATGGGGTCACCATGAATAGGAATCGACTCGAGGGCAGTGGGTTTGTTTAGTTTGGTGTTTGGTGTGTGAAGAGAGTTGCAGGGTTGGGAACGAAGAGGGTGGGCAGGAGACGGGGGAGGAGCCCAGAGGTACCCCAATACAATACTGGTCTCTAATGTACCCTCCTCCTCCCCAGGTTACAGCCACCCTGCTCTCATGAAACTCCTCCAGCAGCCTCAGAATGTGGTAAGTCCCCAGCTTACACAGGTAAAGCCCAACTGTGTGCATGGCGATTCAGAGGACCACTGGGACAGCCTTTGGGAATGGTCTTCCATGCTCTCATTCATTCATTAATATTTATCAAGCACGTAGTACACACCAGCAACAGCCAGTCAAGGCCTTCTCATGCATGGGATCTCTCTGACTTCCTCTTCTGTCTCTGCTTGAAAGGGCTCATGTGGTCACATTAGGCCCATCTGGAAAATCTAGAATAATGTCCTTGTCTTAACTGGTTAGGAACCTTAATCACATCTGCAAAGTCCCTTTTGCCATGTGACATGACATGTTCACAGTCCCAGGGATGGAATGAGGGCTTGCCTACCACACACGGATGTACCGTATTGTACTGTGTAGATCTCTGTGCTTTATGCGTGAAGAGAGTAAGATTTTTTTCCACCCCTGTTGAGAATGCATGAGTTGCGACCAGTACCCAGAATAAGCAACAGATGACCCCTTTCTGGAAGACCCTACCCAGTAACTATTCTCCCAACCAAACCCACTCCCCTAACCTCCAACAGCCCTGTTGAGTTTCTCCTGTTCTTGAATCCCACATCAACGACCTCATCTGTTGTACTCTTTATTATGTATGACTTACTTTACTGACTTACTTACTTCTGTGATTCATCCATAGCTGCAGATCATCTATTCTCATTGCCTTATAGCATTTCATTGTGTGAATATACTGCCATTTATGTATCCATTCTAGTGTTAGAGCATTTGGGTGGCTTCCAGTTTGGGGCTCTTACAAAGAGTGCTGCCAAGAACGTTCGAGTACACGACTTTTGGTTAACACGTTTATGCATTTCTGTTGGGTACAAAACTAGGAGCAGAATTGCTGGTCGTAGTCTGTGCACGTTGGTTGTACCGCTTTCTGCTTCCACTCCCACTAGCAGTGTGTAGGGGTGCTGGTGGCTCCACGTCCTCACCAACACTTGGTATATCATTGGAGAATTTTAATTTTAAGCAGAGTGTGACACATTTGTCCAGACATGACCAGGAGCTTGATTCCAGAAAAGAAATCTAACAAAGGCAAGCGGGGAATTGCCCAATTCTAGTTAGGAATTGACTCCCCAGCCTTAAAACTCTGTTCCCTTTTAACCAACACAGTTGGAAAAAATGAAAACGAGCCTCATTCCCCTTTATAAATGGGTGTGCCCTTCCTGGGAAGAGTTTGGGGACATTTTTTGCCTCTGATGGGTTGTCCAGTTCTCGAGCTGCGGTAAGAGAACACCAGCGTTCTCCTGAAGACGTCTGGCGAGGCCCGCTTGCAGTCAGAGCCATGAGTTTGTTTACATTCAAAGTGCGCTTTGTTTCTAAATGTTGCACGGATCCCAGATGCCTCAGCAGTTGGTGCTGAAAAAATGTGTCAACAAACATTTCATACACATTTGCAGTGTCAACTGCCTCCGGAGGCAAGATCTTCCCAAACAACGCGTGACTTCAATGCCCAGGGATTCTGATTTTGGCGATGGTGGCACCCTGCCCCCACTTGCCCCAGGAAGCTGGGAGCCACACTTCATCCTCCCTGACGCCTGACCTCTCACCTCTCACCTAACCAGGCACCAGCCCTAGCCCAATATCTCCCACTGAGATTTTTCCCAGCAGCCCCTCCATCAATCCTCTGCCCCATTCTCACCTCCTCCAAACCGTGCTGCAAGCTGCCGGCCCTAACAGGGCTGCACCGAGCCCAGAACCCTTCCCCAGCCCCACAGCCTTCAGCACGCATCCCGGATTCCTCCTTTGAATGCAAAGCCCTATGCCATCTGAATCCTGCTGTCTTCTCCAGCCTTATCTCTTGCCATCTGTTCATTCACTGATTACTGAGTGAATACCTGCTATGTGTTGGGCTCCTTCTGCTGGGGTTCGATGGTAAGCAGACGACCAGGCTCCTGGCCTCGTGGCGGTAACGGTCTGTGCCTCCACCTGGCCAGCGTTCTTCTAGGAGTTCCAAGGTGGGGCCGAAGTTGGTCTGCAGAGGACTGGATCTGGAGCTGGGTGAAAAGGAACACAAAGGATGCCTAATGGTGGAGAAATGGCAGCTGACGGCCATAAGCTCAAAGCTCCGTTTTCAGCAGGGGACACCTGGGACATCAGGCTGGGGGTCCGCTGGCTGACTTCCTGGGTCTTCCAAATTCTTGGCAGGAGATTCACTCAGGTGGTGAGGATTGTATTTTTCCTGCCAGGTCATTGAAGTCCCAAGAAGGGACTTATTCACCCTTTGGGACTCCAACCACATCTCCCTGAAACTCCAGCACAGTTACTTTCTGTGGTTGCAAAAAACGCAGCCATGTCCCCTGGCTCTAACATCTGGGTTTTAGTTATAATTTCTTATACCTCTGGAGCCATCTCATTACATTGCCCACAAGCTATACAGTAGTTATGGGGTGCTGCACATGCACAGTGACATTGCAGTGAATGATGAGTGCAGTGTGACATCCCTGACACCTAGGATGGATGCCGCGTTGCAGGCCTGGCCAGGCTAGGCCACGTGCCATCCTGTGCCCTGCAGGCCCTTCCTCCTTCAAGACTCGGCTCCTGCATCCTCTATGTGCTGTTTCATATCCTCACTGGCTCCCTACAAGCACCTGGTGAGGGGTCTCACTTTGCAGATGAGGGCACTGGTGCTCAGAGAGGTTAAGTGACCTCCCCAAGGTCACACAGTCACTTATATCAAAGCCCATCCTCCTCATGCAGCACTTCCACACTGCTGATTAGGATGGCAAGGATTCTAGAAACCTGTCCTCGTTTGACTCTGCTACCCGACGTCCCGGATGGCTTCTGTTCTTAATGCTATGCTTTGTTGAGCATGAGAAGCACCCCACATCATTCCCGGGCCCAGACAGGCAGTGAAGCTGCCAGCCTGCATCCCCCCTCTCTGTGAACCACTTCCCCATGATGGTGGCCATTTGCTTTGACCTTGTTCTCCTGATGCGACTGATTTCTTAGGAGCCCCACTGACAGCTCAGAGCCAGAGAGAAATGCCCCTTCAATGCCCCTACAGGCCAGCTAAGGTCTCTGGGTTGTGCCAAGCAAATGCGTATCCAGCATTAACATTTTCCAAGGGAGACTACCTGGGTGTCTGAGAGAGGTGGGATCTGAAGTCTGCAAACCTTCCTATCTGTGTTACTCGGGGTGAGTTGCTTAACCTCTCTGATCTTCACAGCACTACAGTGAGGAGGGTTAACTTCCCCTCTACCTATCCCAGAGGTCCCTGGGTGGCGAAGACGGTTTGCACTTGGCTACTAACCTAAAGGTTGGTGGTTCGAACTCACCCAGCAGTGCTTCGGAAGAAAGGCCTGGTGACCTGCTTCCATAAAGATTACAGCTAAGAACACCCTGTGGAGCACAGTTCTGCTCTGTAACTCATGATGTTGTCATGAGTCGGAATCAACTTGATGGCAACGGGTTTGGGTTTTGTTTTTGTTTGTTTTCTGTTTTGTTTTACATATTCTAGACCTGCTTGAGTGGTCACAGAGCAAAAAAACAGTGGGGGTATGAAACCGCCACAATTTCTAGAAGCCTGAATCAAGTTCCAAAGAATGAGGTCTGGGGACTCCTGTCCTTTGGGTTTCCTCCTGTGCCGTGATGGCGTGAGTTGGATTATTATGCTGATTACGCCAGAGAGAGAGAGGTGCCCAAGAACCCAGGCTCAGTACAATACCCCACCACCACCACCTTTTCCCTCCAATAAACCCTTTTATTTTAGAATCATTTTAGGTTTACCAAAAAGATAGTTCCCATATACCTTTCACTCAGTTCCCCCTAATATTAACAGCTCACATCACCACAGTACATTTTTCAAAGCTAAGAAATTAACATTGGTACATGACTATTAACAAAACTCCAGACTTTGTTCAGATTTCACCAGTTTTCCACTAATGTCCTTTTTTTTTGTCCTAGGACCCAATCCAGGTGCCAAACTGCATTTAGTGCAATCTCTTTCCATAGCCCAAATCCACTGCCTTGTGACCTCAGCGTTTATCCATTGTCCAGACCTCTCCCAAACTGTTCCCAATCTCTTGGCCGGGGAGCTGGCTGGATCTTGAAGGACTGGCCTTATTCCATTTGTCTTTCTTGCCACGATAAACATTCACATACATATCTTTGTGTAGACATATGCTTTCATTTCTCTTGGGTAAATACCTAGGAATGGAATTGCTGGGGCATAGGGTAAGTGTATATTTACCATTTACCATTATAAATATTGAGCCCTGGTGGTGCAGTGGTTAAGCGTTCGGCTGCTAACCAAAAGTTTGGCGGTTCAAATCCACCAGCCGCTCCTTGGAAACCCTATGGGGCAGTTCTACTCTGTCCTATAGGGTTGCTCTGAGTCAGAATAGACTCAGTGGCAATGGGTTTGGTTTTTTTAATTATTATTATTATAAATATGCTTTTCAAACTGCCAGACTGCTTTCCAAAGTGGCTGCACCATTTTCCATCCCCACCAGCAGTGAATGAGAGTTCCGGTTGCGCTGTATCCTCACCAACACTTATTATTGTTCGTTTTTTGTTTGTATTTTTTAGCCATTCTAATAGTTGTGTTTTTCTTTTCTTTCTTTCTTTTTTTTTTTTTAATCATTGTAGATGACCGAGACGTTGCAGAAAATAGTGCAGAGAGGTCCCATGTACCCTTCACCCAGTTTCCCCCAATGGCAACATCTTTCGTAATTATATAACAATATCACAACAAGGAAATCGGCACTTAGACTTTTTTTTTAAACCCAGAGAAATCCCAGTGCATTGCTCCAAAAGTTCAGGAAAACCTGTCATTCCCAGCACCAGAACAACCCAGGCCTGCAGTGCCATTCAGACCTATTTGAATGCATTGCAGTGACGAGCAGCGTCGGTGGGCAGAGAGCTGGAAGGATTTGGGGGGCTAGGCCCCAGAAGTCACTCTCTGTCTCCTGACTTTTTGCAGAACACATTCGTCAACAGGCCTGCCCTCGGCATCCTGCCTCCAGGGAACTTCGTGGAGAAACTCAGGGAGTCCTTGCTCTCGGTGAGACCCACAGGGACAATCCCGCCACCGGTACAGGCCCACCTCTGCCTGCCAGCCCCGCTGTCTTCCCAGTGGGAAACATGGTTCTGTTCTCTTAGAGGCCGAGGGGGCCAGGGAAGGAGGGAATTGAGATCATAACAATTAAGGGTTTGGTGCTTTTACTGAAATCTTTCTCTTTGTGCTGCTTCTTTCACAAAGAGTATTTTTCATTTTCTTTTTGAAGAAAAGAAGGGATATCTTGTGTGCACGAGAAGGGAACTCAGGGGAAAGTATCTCTCCCTTGCCAGGAGCTCGGTGTGTGTTATGCAATCCTTCCCACTTCTTGGTTTTAGTTATTACAGTGATTAAAGTCATTCAGAGCCTCAGCTTCCCACCTGTAAAACCTGGGTGTCCGAGGGGGCGGCAGTTGTGTCTGCGATGCCCAGGGCCTTCTTTGCCCTCCTTTCTGCTCTGCCCTCCAGCCTCAGGGCCTCCCCAAGCTTGGCTCCTCCACCCCTGGGAGAGTCTGAGTCCCCTTCACAGTCCCATTGCTTCCAGCACGGCCCTCATTCCTTCCCGCCCTCGCCTGCTTCCAGGCCCAGGGGGCTGCCCCTGCAGAGACAGCTCCAGGTAAGGGTCTGAGCTCACAGCTCTGGCTCCCTCCTCCCAGGTGGCTCCCAAAGGGATGTCCCAGATCATCACCATGGCCTGCGGCTCCTGCTCTAATGAAAACGCCTTCAAGACCATCTTCATGTGGTACCGGGTGAGGCTTTGGGGCACGCGTGCGTGCACACACACACACACACACACACACACACACACGAGTTCCTCTAGCCCCCAGCCACGCACACTCACCCCTTGTCCAACTGCTCATCCCGACTGGCCATGGTGTTGGACTTCAGTGACCCTGGTCAAAATCCAAGGAGGCCCACTGCGTGGGTGGCACTTCCCCAAACACCCTAGTGGGGTCTGGTGCAAAGGGTGGGGGCTTTGGCATCAGACCAACCCGATGTAAATACACTGATTCATTTGGCATGGCATACACCATCACAACAGAACTTAGTTGTGGCTAATAGAATGTCAGTGCATCTTATGTATCCGTCTCCTGATTTCACTGCAAACAATTCACCACCCCATGCTTCAGTACATAAGTCTACTGATCCACAGGTATGATGAGCTCTTGAGGTGACAAGCTGACCAAGGCATACATTTCACCTGAATACATTTCAACTCTTGAAAAAGCAGTTCCAGGACTAAATGTCGGTTTACGGAAAGTTGAGGCCCCTTCTCCCCCAGAGCATCTCTGAGATTGTGTTCTGCTCTGTTTTGTCAGAACAAGGAAAGGGGTCACTCGGGGTTCTCCAAAGAGGAGCTGGAGACCTGCATGATCAACCAGGTAAGTGCAGCTGGGCCCTAGCACCCCTGCCACTTGGGGGAGCGACCACAGTGCTCCTCAGGTGACACCTGTGGACTGACCCTGTGCTTCTCAAATACGAGATGTCCCCGACCAAGCACCCCCAGTCCCAGATCCATTCCTTTGGTGGTGAGGCTGAGTGCCATCTTCCTGACCAGCCTTCACCAGTTTCCCAGGACAACTGCCTGGATCTGACAGTTCTAAAGAGGTCATGGAGCCCTGGCGATGCAGTGGTTAAGAGCTCAGCTGCTTACCAAAAGGTCAGCAGTTCGAATCCACCAGCCACTCCTTGGAAACCTCATCGGGCAGTTCTACTCTGTCCTATAGGGTCGCTATGAGTCGGAATCGACTTGACGGCAACAGGTCTTTAAAGAGGTCATGGAGTTCTAGGTGGTGCAAACGGTTAAGTGCCTATCTGCTAACCAAAAGTTGGTGGTTCGAGTCCACTCAGATGCCTCGGAAGAAAGTCCTGGTGATCTCCTTCCAAAAAAACAGCCATTCCACTGTGACACACATGGGGTCACCATGAGTTGTAATCAACTCGACAGCAACTGGTTGGTTAAGGAGGTCATTAACCTAGAAATAATCCAGAATGCTAACATAATTGTATGTCCAAGAGTGTTGATCCCACTGGTTTGTATAGTAACAATGAGAAATGATTGGAGACCACCCATATACCCAGTAACAGGGAAAGATTAATTAAATGTGGGGACCCCATATGCAACCCCAGCAGTTCATGGAGGTGCCCAGGAGGCCACTGTTGGGGAACCGTGAGCGGGAACCACAGGAAAAACCTGGTAAGTGGGATTCTAAGTTCCCCACCCAGCTTCAGGCGGAGCAGCCTGTCCTTCCCCGTTTGATGTTTGGGGTCCCATTAAGGTTTAGACAGAAGTGGCTGCTGCTTAACAAAATCAAAAGCCACTGAGCTTAATTACCTACTACGTATGTCCACAATATCCACAGCAAAAACAGTTACATATGGTTTCTCTTGGCCTGGTGACGTGCGTGCTCTAATTCAGTGAAAGCGCTGCGCTCTCCACCGTGCAAATAAATACCAGAAAAATCCCAAAAGGAAGAGGCTAACGTGGTTACAATGGGTTGCCTCTGGGGGTTGAGATTTAGGACTTTTTTCTTTATGCTTTCTTAATATTTTTTAACGTTTCTTCCTAATCCTGCCTCTTATTCGCAGATGTGTGCATACCTTTCTCCCTATTCACACGTGTTGCTGTCGAGTTGATTCCGACTCATAGCGACCCTATAGGACAGAGTAGAACTGCCCCATAGGGTTTCCAAGGCTGTAATCTTTAGCGCCTGGTGGGTTCAAATCACTGACCTTTCAGTTAGCAGCTGAGCACTTAACCATTGCACCACCAGGGCTCCTTCTATTCATACAACCTATGTACATTTAAGATTTTTCTTTTTCCTTGCCATTTTTTCATAACGGATCGTGTCCTACCTCTTTCTCTAACTTTGCTTTTCTCACTTGATATCCATGAGTATGCTGTTACATCAGCATTTTTAGGGGCGATTCGTCATTTTTAGTGGCTGCATCCAAATGTGTGTAATAATGTGTGTGTATATGTATATTACATTTAGAATCAGGAAGCAAAGTAAAAAAAATGCCAAGAGGGTGTTCTGGAATTTGAGGGAGGAGGTCTTGGAGTTTTTCAACCCCCTCCCCAGAGACTCGGCCCCTGCTTTTGCCTCTGGATTCCCTAGCTGGGGTGGAGCATCAGAAAACAACACCAGCCAACGAGGCAGCTGCAGCATTTGCTTGGGGCTGGGAAGACAATAGGAGTTCCCACATTCCTCCTAAACCCGAAAGGCAGCTGCCATAGGGATAGGGGAATGTGGGATCCTGCCCTCCTCCCACCCACCCCCAATTCCCCAACGGGCCCAGCGGACCTCTTCCAAAGGCCTGGGGCGTTTCCTGTGAGGGGCCCTGCTCAGTCCTGTTTCAGACAGCCTGGGCAATCACCTGAGCACTGAGGAAGGCACAGCCTGGAGAACAGGGGTTGAAAATTCAAAGCTTCCAGAGGCCAGGGAGGTGCCAGCAAGTAGGAAAGCTGGCAGTAAGCCCTGGGGCGTCGAGGAACTTCCAGGTCTTCTGATTGACCTTAACGTTCGTCTGGAATGTTCTGTGGCAGACCTTGGCATTCCTCTGGGTCACCCTGTAGCAGACCTGGGTGTTCCTCTGGAATGTTCTGTGACAGACCTGGGCGTTCCTCTAGAATGCTCTGTGACAGACCTGGGTGTTCCTCTAGAATGTTCTGTGACAGACCTGGGTGTTCCTCTAGAATGTTCTGTGACAGACCTTGGCGTTCCTGCACATTTGCATGGGCAACAATATAGTTCCTGAGTCCTTACATCTGTGACTGATGACTTTTATTTCCTGGTTCTAGGCCCCAGGGTGCCCTGACTACAGCATCCTCTCCTTCATGGGCGCGTTCCACGGGCGGACCTTGGGTAAGGCGGGACCAGCCTGATCCCAGGGTGGCGTTGAAAGTAATGATAACAGCAACAAGAGCTCCCTTTTATCTTGCACTGACTGTTTACACGTCTTCTCTCCGCGATTCCACACAACAACTCTCCGCTGAGTGGGAATTATAATCCCCACTTCGCAGGTGTGGAAACAGAGGCTCAGCAAGGGAGGGAACTTCCCAAGGCCATTCGGTGGCAGAGCCAGGATTGATTTGAACCCTTGTCTCTCTGTCCTCAAAGCCTGTGCTTAATCTGTGATAAATCAGAAAGCAAGCGCGCGCGCTCACACACACACACACACACACACACACACACACACACCCTGAGGGTTCACAGGTTTCACTTCAGCTTCAGGATGTTGTTTTAACACCTGGGCAGGGGTCTGGCGGGCAACAGGCCTCCAGCATTTAAATCCTGTGGCTGAAATGCCCGTCTCACCCCACTCCCCAAGCTGAGCATCTGCTTTTCTGTTTTGTGGACTCAGGTTGCTTGGCGACCACTCACTCCAAAGCGATTCACAAGATTGACATCCCTTCCTTCGACTGGCCCATTGCACCGTTCCCATGGCTGAAATACCCTCTGGAAGACTTTGTGAAAGAGAACCAACAGGAAGAGGCCCGCTGCCTAGAAGAGGTAACACAGGGTCTCCCCAGTCCTCCCCACACCCACACCCCGTCCCATTGACCTCACCACCACACCAAGCCTTACCCCAGGAGAAGAGGAACAGACAGAGTTTATCTGCGGGGTGGTGTCATGCTCCCTAAAGGAAAGTAGGGACACAGAGGCCTCATGTCCAGAATGTCCCCTACTGGGAAATGGTCCTGTAGGGAGACACAATGTTGTTGCCACCCAGCATCCATCACCCTACTTCTGTATCATTTAAGTTTCTTTGGGGGCAAGTTACAAGGACTCCAAAATAAGAGAGTTTATTGAAAGACCATGGGGTAGCAAGTAGAAAAAATAATTCCATAAGATCCCCTAATCCACTGTTTTTCAGTCTTCTCCTGAGTCCTGGGGCTTCTCTGGGTTGGTTTGGGGGCAGCAGTAGGGGCAGGGGAGAGACTGCATTACAAGCAGAACAGCCTCCCTTTAATCCATTCCATGTAAGACACTGGAAGGATTCTGTTGCCGGGAGAAAAAAATGGCTATCACTCTTCAGGTATGGATTTGAGGTGAAATAAGGCTGCTGGTTTGCCTCTTAGGCACGGCATTTGTTCCAGTCAATATTTATTGAGTACCTACTAGGTGTTATATTTAAGCAAGGATCTAGGTGCTGGGTGTTCAGTAGTAAACAAAAGTCTAAGTACAGCATTGTCCAGTAGACATATAATGAGACCCACACATATAATTATAGCCTTTCTAGTAACCACATTTTTTAAAAGTAAAAAGAAATGGGTGAAATTAATTATAATATTTTATGGGACTCAGTCTATCCAAAATACTATTGTTTCAACGTGTAATCAATATTTTAAAATTATTAGTATTTTACCTTCTTTTTTCTCATGTTAATCTTTGAAGCCCTGAGTGTATTCTACACTTTCAGTACATCTCAGTTTGGAACAGCCACCATCCAAGTGCCTAGCAGTCACATGTGGCTCATGGCTGCCATATTGGATAATGCAGGGCAAGGAGGAAAGACAGGAATGGAGCAAACAAACAGGAAAATAGGATGTAATAAAAAATTGCCAACGATGGTCTGAAAGCAAAGAAAGCATCTGAGAGAGTCCTAGGGATGACTGGCAGAGACCCGGCCAAAACCATATGATCCAAACAGAATGTTTTCCCTTAGTTCTGAGTTTTAACTTATGTATAACTATTAAACCATTAAGGAGCCCTTGTGGTGCAATGGTTAAGCACTCAGCTGCTAACTGAAACGTTGGTGGTTTGAACCCGCCCAGCGGCTCCAAGGGAAAAAGACCTGGCAATCTGCTCCTGTAAAGATTACAGCCTAGAAAACCCTACAGGGCAGTTCCACTCTGTCCCACGGGGTCGCTAGGAGTCGGAATGGACTCGACGGCACACGACAACAGCATTAAACCATTAATAAATAAAAGTGTCACAATTTCTAATCTTTATAAGATGACACCCACTAAAGAACAAGAGTTCAAGAAATACCACTTAGGGACAGTCAGGTGTCTTTCTTGCCACCCCACAACTATTAACAGTTAAATTTTTTGAATCAAGTTCAAATGTATTATACATAATTATAAAATACACTCATTTTAAATGTACAGTTCAATAAATTTTGACAAATATATACACATGTATATCCATCACCCCAGTCAATGGTACTTAATCATCCCAGAAAGTTTCCTCGTGCCCCTTTGAAGTCAGTCTGCCCCCTCAACCCCAATCATTTAACCACTATTTGGATTTCTGTCACTCTACAGTTTTGCAACAGTTTTTATTTATTTATTTTTGTAATTTATTTTTTGTTGTTGTTGAGAATATACACACTGGAACATACACCAGTTGGACAGTGTCTACGTGTGCCATTCAGCAACATTGATTACAATCTTCCAGTTGTGCAACCATTCTCACCCTCCTTTTCCAAATGGTTCCTCCCCCATTAACATAACCTCACTGCCCCCTGTGTTTCCTATCTACTCTTGAGTCGCTGTTGTCAATTGGATTCCATACAGATAGTTCTTAGAAGAGCACAATGCCCAGGGCAGACATTGGTTACTAGTTAAGTTAAATTGTTGGTTGGATTTTAAGAAGACTTCAGGGGATACTTTTGGTTTAAGGTTTAAGGAACAGTTTCTGAGTGAAGATCTGGCTCAGATTCTGTACCGAGAGGGCTGTCATATCAGTCGTAATAACAACAGTAATATAACAATAACAGTGAGAATAGTACAGTAGTGATGGTAGTAACAGCAGCAGCCGCCACCACTTGCTGTATGCTGGTCCCTGTGCTATTGCCTTCCATCCCCTCCACACCCCCATTGGGTAGATTCTGTCTGTATCCCCAGATTACAGATCAGGAAAGTCATGCATCGGAAGGTTGAACAACCTGCCCAGAGTTACTAGTTTATATCCCTACGTGTGCTAGCACCAACCCCAGGTAGGACAGGTTCCCATCCACACCTGTGGCTCCTAATGGACACCACACTTCTCATAGAAAATGCACACAGATTTCTGATATAATTTCAGGGGGCCCATGGCCCCCTAGACGTCACCCTGCAAGTGAATGTCGCCTCTCCCTTGGAATCCAGGTGGAGGATCTGATTGTGAAATATCGGAAAAAGAAGAAGACGGTGGCGGGGATCATTGTGGAGCCCATCCAGTCGGAGGGCGGGGACAACCACGCCTCCGATGACTTCTTCTGGAAGCTGAGAGACATCGCCAGGAAAGTCAGTGGACGCTGCTGGGGTTGGGCGAGGCCAGGGGTGTCCCTGGGCAGGTGTCCCAGCATGCAAGGCTAGCACACTTCTGCTTTAGAGTCCTGGTAAACCCCCATCTGTGCAGAGGGCGTCTGTCCATCTCCTGATAGAGAAAGTGGGGGTGGGGGTGAGGGAGTCTCCCTGAATTTTTGTTGTAAATCAGCCTCCAAGCCGCCATCTTAATCTGGAACTTTCCCAATCAAGATATTTCTAGCAGGCCTCAGCTCCCTCCCTTTCCTCCCAGTTCATCTTTTCACCCCCTGTGCTCCATACTCAGTGGGTACAAAGTGAACATGAGGTGAATATCAGGTGTTTATTTTAATGTGTTTTAACTGGCCCATCAAACCTGTCACCGATAAAAGCTCTATGGCACGAGCTGATTTAAGCACCAATACTAAGTTAATAATAGAACTGTGACAGCAGAACTGGAGCCATCGGCTCTGGCCTCACTGTTGGGACGCGTTTTCTTTGCTTGTCAGTTTCCGCGCAAGAGTAAGGCAAGACCCAGGACTGCAGCCAAGCAAATACTGCCTTGCCTTAGCTCAGCAGGATTGGAGGTTCTGGTTCAGTTCCAGTTCAGTTTTAGGGAACATTCAGATAGAGTGCTGGTTGAACTGCCCTGCTTAACTGTTTGGGTTCATTTTGCTTTTATAACCCGGAAAACACGGGGTTGGTTTGCAGTTCGGAAAGCAGTGAATATTTGGCTGGATTCGGGGTTCGGCGGCTTGGTCGATGTGGCAGGTGTGGGCCCCCAGCCTCCGCGGGGTATTTATGTCTCCCTCTTCCCTCTCCTGCCCGCCCAGCACGGCTGTGCCTTCCTGGTGGATGAGGTCCAGACAGGAGGGGGCTGCACCGGCAAGTTCTGGGCCCACGAGCACTGGGGCTTGGATGACCCGGCTGACTTGATGACCTTCAGCAAGAAGATGATGACGGGGGGCTTCTTCCACAAGGAGGAGTTCCGGCCCAATGCTGTGAGTGCAGGCGCCGTCCTTCCCTCCAGAGCAGAGGGAGGTGGAGGCAGGTGGAGGAGCATCCGGTTCCAAACTGTGCCTTTCTGACAAACAAGGAGCTGAGTGGACACCTACCTTGTCACAGAGGTTTCCTAAGGCCCAATCCTTACCAACTAAATCAGCCAGCAGTTGTGGTCACTCCAGCTATCTCTGCAGGTCGGCTTTGTAGGAACCCACTGTCTGTCTTCTGGCATTTCTCTGCACGTACAATAATAATACTGTTAACGGCTGCTACTTCAGTCTAGCGTTTACTCTGTGCCAGGCCCAGTTCTAAGTACTTCTTACGTATATTTAATCTTTACAGCGTTCTTAATAGAGAAGGCCTTATATTTAATCCCCTATTTTACTAACAAAGAACCAAGCACAAAGAGGTTAAGTAAGTTATCCAAAGTCACAAAGCCTGTGAGTGACAACACCAGGATTCAAACCCATAACCCATAGTCTTGACCACTACACTGTACGTGTACATACAGACACTCATACACATACACACAGTCATCAAGGGCCCAGGATCTACCCTTTCACCATTTCTGAATGTAGTTTCCACCCTCAAGGTTGCCTCATGGTCCAATATGGCTACTGGAGCTCCAGCCATCACATCTCAAGTCTAGGCAGTTAGGAAGGAAAAAGGAGGGAAGGACAAAGTGGCTTCCTTCTCGTCTTTAGCAGCCTTCTCAGAAATCCCACATAACACTGCCATTTACACAGCATTGGCTAGAACCTGGTCACATGGCCACCTCTTAACTACAAGGGAGACCAGGAGGTAGGTTATAGCTGGGTACGTTGCCACCCTAAATAATTCATGTTTCTACTATGGAAGGGGCAAGAATGGATACTAGGAGACAAGTACAAGCCTCTGTCCCCCCCACCACACACACACAACCACCACATTAATTGGGGGGGGGGGAGAGGGATCAAGTGGGTGGTCTTTGAGGGTCAGACTGTCAGCAATCC